AGATGTGTGTGTGTTTTTTTTTAAGCGTCGCTGTGCCTGAGTGGTTAGAGGTGCGTACTACCACTCCGTAGGGCCTGGGTTATATCCCTGCCCCCGGCAACATCTAAATTATAAATTTTATTTTTTTTTTCTAACAGCGGTTGCCCCTCGGCAGGCTACGGCAAACCTCTGAGTGTATTTCTGCCATGAAAAAACTATCTCACAAAATCCATTTGCCGTGCTGGGCGGCATAAAATTGTAGGCCCCTCCATTTGTATAACAACATCAAGACGCACACCACAAATTGGAGAAGAAGCAAGGCCAAGCACTAAGCTAAAGTGTAAGCGCCAAAATATTATTGTTATTAGTGAGAAAAAAAAAAAATAATAATACCCAAACCCAATTAAAATATGTAGTAGCAATTCCTTTCAAATTCATAATAGCTTTCAGAAAGCCAGGACTTACGACTTGTTTTCACTATCTCAAATTCAATGGCATTTGCCGTCAATGCAGTGAAAAGACGTTGCTAGTAAAAAAAAGGCCTTCAACTAAATCGCCTGCCTAGATTAAAAATCTCTTGGCGAAGGTTAAAGAGGAGCCAAAATACGTTGGACAAATTTTGTGGTCAAATATAACCACAAGCCTTTGCTTCACATACATTTTTGTGCTAAAATCAAAAATTTGTATTAGCTGAAGGTAGAACTAAAAATATGTATACGTGAATATAGTAAAGGTTAAGTCCTCTTTCTTTTTTAAGCGAACTAAGAAAACCTCCACATATACATAAATATGAAAAATACTACGAAGAAAAAGTATTACAAAGCACAACTTAAACCACCAACTGAAAGTGGAAAGCAGCAATAGAAATAAAGACAGGCACCAAATAAAAACAATAAAATCAATAAAACTCAAAAGAATTGAAGTTGTTTTTTTTTCTTTGATATTTTTAAGTTATTTCTTTCCACAATTCTTTTTTGCATTAAATTACTAAATATGTATTAAATTACTATTTATGTATATAATAGTGTATGTATTTACTCGTGTATATGTTTATGCATATAAATTTAAAGTATATATATTTATGTACGTAATATTTTACAATAAAGGAATATAAGATATTTTTTTTCGTTTTCTTAATCTAAATATTAAGCTTAAAATGAAACCCGTTATCTTTGTTTGTAGGTTTTTTTTTTGTTGTATGTTTGTTTGTTTGATTGAATATTTGGTTTTTAGTATAGCATCGACTTTTTTATTTATTGGCATACTAATTACAAGAGTTGAAAATTATTAGATATTTTATTTTTTTCTGTTTGTTAGAATTTCTTTTTATGTTATGTGGCAATACTTTAGATGGTTTCGATTGCTCACTTACGCGGACCAAAATAACTTTTTGTTTTGTTATTAAAAGAAATTCAAATTCAAATAATTTGAAGACTAACAAAAATATATAAAAAAAACAAACCAAATCAAATATTAATCAAATTAAAAGTATAAAAACTAAAAAAAATAAAAGTTGATATTTTTTAAAATAAAAAATTAAACTAGTTTTAAGAAATTAAAACTAAAGAAAAATAAAAATTTATTATTTCTAAAAATAAAGAACTTACAAAATTTTCTTGACTTGAAGTAGTAAAAATCGAAAAAAAAATACCAACTAGCCTCTACCGATACAGAATTTTGCTTCTGATTATAAGGGAAAAATTTTGAAAATTATATTACTTATTATTATTTAATTTCTGAAGCTATTTGTTCTTCAGCATAATTAAACTTAAAAATAAAAATTTTTGCAGAAGAAATAAAATATTTGCAGATGAAATGCAATCGTCTAGTCAAGAGACTAGCTTTTTTTTAGTATTTTCAAATCTTTTTGGATTTAACAATAAAAAAATTATAATCTTTCCCACGATTTCTATCAAAAAATACATGCGTTGTAGTTCCTTTTTTAATTTTAATTTTATATTCAGCTAAAAAATTTTGATTTGTAAAGCCAACGTCGAAGGGTTGTCAAATACATATGTCTTGATTCCAAAAAAAAAATTAATTTTTTCAAGACATATTTGACAGAAAAAAGAATTTACATAAAACGAAACTAGAATTAAAAAATAATAAAATTAGCAAAATTAAAATTGCACAACTTTTTTAATTCACACAAATTTGAGGTTATTAAGAATATGATTTTTTTAATAAAAATATGCTTTCATAATAAAAAAAAGCTGAAAACGAAATAAAAACATTTCGCTTCTAAAAAAAATTTCGTGACAGTTGACAAATTTAAAAAATATTAAAAAATAATTATTAAAAACAAATTTTATAAAAGTAAATAATAAAAAAAAAAATTTGAAACAAATGACTGAAAATTGCACAGCTGTGGTTTTACACGAAGAAATTATGCCTGTAAAACTTGACATTTTATAGACTTTTTAAAATCGTCAAAAATTGTGCGATCTTGCTTGCATGAATCGGATTTAAAACTGAATTCTTTGACAGTTTAAAATTTGTATGGTGTTGTTTCATTTTTAAATTTGTGCAAATAAAAGCGTAAAAAAAATACATACGAAAAAAAATTACTGAGCAAAGTTTTCAAATCAAAAATTAAAAGAAAACAAGTGTATTACAAAAAAAAAGTGTTATAAACAGTATTACAAAAAACAAGATAAAAATTAATGTTTAGTAATTCCTTAATAAATATAACCCAAAATTTATTGCAAGTTTAAATTTTTTAATTACAAGCCGAATATGAATAAAAAAATTTAACGTGGAAATTAAAAAAATTATAAAAACATCTATGCAGAACTGAAATGTTCTAAAATATTTAAATTGTGTAGAAAAAAGGTAATTAATTTAATTTTTTTTCACCTAAAATCGAACTAAAAAAAAATATCTATAAAAAGGAAGAGCGCAGAATTTTAACTCGAAAAATATAGATAAAGTAAAAACAAAAAATTTTAAATAATAACCTATAACTCAAAATTTTAACTCGATTATACAGCAAGCGTGAAAGTCGATTATAAGGTCAGTCAGGTCTACGTTACCGGAACGAGCAGCATCATTCCCCAAAAACTTGTAGGGGAATTTGTATAGTATTACAACAACAACAGCCTACCATCTGAAGTTACCACATTTTCAAAATCGAATTAGGCCAGATGAAGTAATGAAACTAGTTTGAAAGATTTGACACTGTCTTATTTGAAATATTTGCCTTTTAGATTTTTGCTGAATCAGTCGAATGTCAAAAAATTAAATATCACCACATTATTGTATAGGGGCTTGGGCTCTTCAGTTTAATAATTTTTTAAATTTTTTTTTGCTACAACTTCGCTCCTACAGCATTACATTTGCGCATAAAAAATGTTTTTAGTTCTAATATTTAATTTTGATTTTTCTTGAAATTACGTTCTTGCTGTTTACTTGGTTAGCTGTATGCTTTCATTTGGTATGCTGTATTTTCTTGCGAAGTTTTCATATTAGTTTTGTATGCCTAAAAGTCTTTTTTATAATATTCAAAATTTATTTGTTATGATCCGCTGCAAAGTTTTAATTATTTTTCGTAATTTTCTGTTGCAGTAAGCTTCTTTTTTCTTTCGCATTTTACATTTTATAATATTACAATTTACAGTTGAATTTGAGCAGCAAAAATGCAATTTTTTTCTTTTTGCATAGAAATTTTCCAAAACAAAATTATTCATCAGCTAAATATGTATTTATATGTACATAAGGGTGCATCACCAATGCAAGTGGCGGTTTTTCCACCGGAATTAAAAAAGGTATTACAGTTTAAAATTTCCGCCAAAATAATTAAAAAAAATAAAAATAAAAAATTTAAGCATTTTTATGAGGACCTTGTAAGCTTAAACTCTTATATCAGCGGAGATAATTTCTTAGAAAAAAATATTTTTTAAAACTGTTTTTATTTATTAGAAACGCAATTTTTGAAGATATTTTCGTATCGTAAATCCTAATATTTTTCCAAAATATTTTGGCGGAAGTCTTTAAACATACTACATATAATATTTCCGATAGAAAAACTGTAACGATTTTTTTTTTTGTATGGAGAGTGATGCGCCCTAATTTACGTACAGGCATTTACATCTGTATGAATGCATGGCGTGCAAGTGTTTTTTTGTTTCATGTACACACATACATATGCCAAATTAATAAAATTCACAATTATTTTAAATTAAGCCGAAATAAGTTTAAAAGCTTTAACTTCTTTTTTTTTAATAAACAAAATTGATAATAAAATGTATGCATACGTATTTAATATTAACAGTAATAGTAATGATAATAATAAACATAATTGCAATAAACATTAAATTAATTAGCATAATTAGAATTATATCACCCTGTATATGTACGTACATATTTCTAGACATTTTTATTTTTATTTTTACATTAGTGTGTATAGAAGATGCTACTTTCTATTAATTACTGCTAAAGCAAATGGCTCGCAGAGCTCGCTTCCTATAAATATTTTTATGTGGCAAATATTTTGCATGTCAATATTAAAAATAGTGTTTAAGATTTTAATCATAGCTTTCCTAAGCCGTTATATAGAATAGGTTTAAATATTGAAAATATATATATTACTCGTTATTCACATGCATTCGTACATATATGGTAGGCATGTATGTATTTATGGATATGTTCATATGTACATTTTTTTATTAAATTATGAAGGTAGCATTGTTGCGGTGCTTTGTTTTTTTACTTTCGTTTACAAATATATAAAAATCTTGTTTAAATGTACGCATATAGCAAGCACTATTTGGCTATTCTATTTTATTTCGTTCAGCTGTTTGTGTGCATTTTTTGTTATTTTCCAGAAAGTTATGAGCAAACATACATATGCATGTACATATGTATGTATGTAAGGCGACATAAAATTTTAACCAGCACAGAAAAACAAACTTAAGAATAATCAAATAAACCATCGAGCTACTTAATGAAACCTATATTCATTGAAAAACATATAGAAAATCTGCGTAATGTGGTTTTTTAGTGTTTCTCATCTTTTTTTTTAAATTTCCTCTGAAATTTCAATGCATTTTTTTTCAAAAGCTAAAGTGTCTGCCACATTTAGCTGTTCGCCTGAACGCAAAAAGTGGGCGAACTGCAAACAAGGAAATACTTTTCATAGACATTCCAATAGTGCAGTCAACGCTTTTACGTTTTTGAGTCTTCCGAGGCCTTTTCTAATTGAATCTTTTTTGATATGCTAAGGTCCCTTGCGTTTTACCAACAAACAGTGGACAAATAAAAATTGCTATCCATCAAATATACATAAAAAACACACTAAGTGAATACAGGGCAATTAAATTAGGTCCGAACACAACTGGTGGATTAGCATCTTCTAAGTGCTCAAAGCGAAAAAATTTAATTTTGCAAATAAAAACGAAAAACTTCTAAAAAAATTTATCAAGTTCTCTCAAGGAAATTGGCCCATCGCATAGATCTGTTGCTCATTAATCGATTCAAATTTGAGTGAGCAAAATTATATACTTGAACTGAATGGAAAGCGTTCGGCATATTTGAATTTCATCTTCTAAAGCCGCTTTCAAACGTTTTGTGAGAGAGCCCACACAACACAGCCTCCTGGCGTACCCTGAATATCCTACCAATCTGATGCCAGAGGCATTAAGCAATCAACCGAGAGAAGTGATGCATAAAAAGTCAGAAGAAGATCATTTAGAAGACACTTTGAAAGTTACAGAGGCCTTTCGCATGACAGTCCAAGAATTGTCAGTACAAGAGCGTTCCTTAAGCGTTTTTTATGTTGAAAGTAACAAGAACAACGAGCATTGGAAGTCACTGCTCTAACCTTTTTTGACCATCCATTCAAAATTGCTCTAAAACTCTGAATTTAATGGCAACAAATACAACTTCATTTTGAGCTCCAGTTAAATATTTAAATTGTCTTCTTCATCTATACAAAAGTGCAGGAATAACATAACGATCTGGCACTCAAATATTGGCAACGAAATGCACAGCTGTTGTGGCCATTAATACCTCCTACGATGCTAGAGTACCGCTGGGGACTCCAAGCCCTTTTATCTATTGAAAGCCCGAACTAAGCTGGTTGTTGGAATCATCATTGGCCACTGTTTAAAGGGAATTCTTTCTAGCAGAATAGGATTTCCAGCGAACGCCTACTGCTGCAGCTGTTGGGATGATGGTGAAATCGAGAACATCGAAGACTTCCTCTTCTTATATCCAGCATATACTAAACTGAGACGACGATCAATTTTCGATGATCTGCAAGACCTAAATTTGAAGAAGGTCTGCGACTGAAAAACCGTCAGAACTCTTTGCAATTGGTTCCATCTTTAGGTATATGATCGTATGAGCCAAACGGTATTAGAATGCGTGTCATTATCTAGAATCTTCATGCCTAACCTTTATTTGTACTATTTAAATAAGTTTAGCAGCAGTCTTGGCCAAATTCATAAGGTGAAGTGCAACAATACACTAAAACAAAATTAGTGAACTAGCAATATTTAACGAAGAACCTAGGTTGTGAACAGTAAACGTCGTTGTTAAGTGTATGACTTTCGAACATTTATGGCTCCAGCGTCTTACAACGAATACAAAAGAGATTAGAAAATAAAAGACACAAGTTTTCAGATAGAAATTAAACACATCAAATTAGCATTTTTTTATCCTACACTTTGGAAATGTTTGTGTTAAAAATATATATATATATTTTTTTTATAAAAGTGCTTTGGAAAGCACAGTTTTTTCTTTGAATACACAAGCGATGAGTAGCCTATAACTGACCATCACTGTATAAATGTATGTACAAGGTGTTAATAATAAACAAAACATAAAGCACAAAACAATATCAGCCAAACTAAACATAAAATTGATTTAAAAATAACTCATTAAAAACTATAAAATTCCATAAACTACATTATTTCAAAAACAAGCTTAAAATACATTAAAACATGCTACATATAAATACATGCATGTACATAACTATATAAGTTTGTATGTATACAAAAATATTAGTTAACATTTCATGTATAAACGCACAAACGCACATACTATACATCTTCATGGATAGAGTGTGTATGTTTGCCTCCACTTATGTACTTCCTGCTCGACAAGTATTTATTAATAACTAAATGCTTAAATATACACCAGCACATATTTTAGTATTTTTTGTTTTTATTTTTTATTCAAAATTCTCTTGCTTTTTCACAGACATCGATAGCAACAATTCATTTTTGTTTCCCTAAATTACTATAATCATATTTATAGCGTATATAACAGTTATTAATTATATGTTTATGCAAATATATTAGGTTTTTATATAATTATATGTATGTATGTATAAATATAGCGTTTCTCCATATTATTGAAGCACAAAAAAAAATATATTTATTAAAGTCCTTATAAAATAGGCAGGTAAAACTGGTAGCTCATTGTTCATTATCCAACCTCATCGAAACAGCAACAACAACAGTTCCTCTTATTCTGCCCGTCAACATTTTAACATCATTTCCTTTCACTCAAATAACATTATCACTTAAGAGCTAAAGAAAAACATAACCTGTGGCCTCTTTCGTTAACGTTTTACAATGTATTGTTTCCTCATTTTCGGGCTTTAAACAAATAGTGCTATTTAGCATCCATATAAAAATTAGCCCGCAACATTTTTTTTCAATTTCTGTTCCAGTTTCCTTTACTTCCGCAAACCTTCATTCGTTTTCAAGTGTTTTCACTTAAAAAAAAAAACAAGAAATACAACTTTCCATAGCTCAATTCTGCACAGTAAGCTTGTTTTAACCAAATATTTCTGCTTCACATTTTTCATTTTACTCCTCTTGCCCCTCGCATCTCTCTTTTTATCATCACACTTTTGGCAGCCACACATTTCCTCATTTTTGCTGATTACTCCTCTATTACACGTTCCATCACGCATTCTTCATTTGTATTCTTTCCTTTCACTTCTCTTTTCATTTTCACTTTTGAGCCTCCAATTTTTATCCTTAAAAGCTATTCACATCTCCCATTCATCTTTCCTCTTTTGCCGCGATTCTATGAATGCCTTAGATCCTCTAGTCCGCCATTTGGTATACCGCCTTTCACATTCTCCAGCACTTTGTTAACAAAGTCTGTAGTATCACCAGCTATACGAAGGCCAGCTAAGAGAAGGGGGAGAAAAATAAATTGGTAAATGATAATATATTAATTGTACAATTTGTTATATTTTAATGGTCTTATTTATCAAAAATAAAATAGATTTAAAGTGGAATTTTCGTAAAAAAAAAATTATTTACAAAGCTGTTAAAGTTTGGGTGTAAGAATTCCATCACAATTTGTCGGATAAATATGAAGATTTACGTAAGCTGCGCTGATTTGAAAATACCTCCGAAAATCTTATTATTTTGATTCCGTTGATAAAATGTTTGAACACTTTTACGCAGACTTTCTAAGCTTAAACTCTTCTGTCATCTGAGGTGATTTTTTGGAATACATATTTTTAAAACTAATTTTATTTATTAAAAACTCAAATTTTTTAGATAATTTCATATTGGCCTAACGGACGGACAATGGACGGAAGTCTTTAAACATAATACATTTTATAATTTCAATAGAAAAATAGTAACAATGGTATCTTGTATGAAGAGGGTTGAACCCTAATGTAAATATGTAAAGAGTGCAATCTGTTCATTTTAAAGCATACATATGTAAATGTAAAACAATCGCCTCTTTATTCGCCTATCCCTATTACTAAAATTAAAAATAAGCTGACCCTTCCAGCATTGAAGCAATACTCCGAACGACCAAGCTTCTGCCATATTCCTAGAAAATATTTTGTATGCAGCGCCCAATGCCCTGACCTAGGTGGGTCAAATTTTCTATGCGCGAATTTATTGCCGTATTAAAACTGAGTCGGGTGTAAGAAATTCTTAGTCAAACGGCGATTCGAAACGTCGGAACTAATATAAAAAAAAATATTTCCTCATTGGTCCTTTCCATTAGTTGCTGAGACAGCTCAGATTTCATGAAAAGCAATATATAGTATGTATGTACTTATACAGAGGACTGCTTTCGTCGAAAGCATAAATAACTAAAATATTGGAATACTTCTGGCGTTGAAAAACATATTTCTGTAATAAGGGATTATTTTCATCTTTCTCTTGATACTGAACAAAATACTCAGAGGACAATATCAATCATTCACTTTGCTTTCAAAAATCGTCAACATTTTTCTTGGTTTAAACTCGATTAAAATGTTATGTTCCATAGTGGCCGGACAAATCGTACATTAGATTATATTATTTTCAACTAGTGCTGAATCCATTGTAGTCCTATCTCAGCTTATTTTCCCCAAACACTTTTACCATTAATATCCAGTTTAACAAATTTAATTTTTTTTTTATTTATTTCCCTTTTAAAGCTTACTTTGTGCCGTTTTGTAGATCTGTTCGATGCGCTGATCAATCGCTTCGTTGTTTTCGCCATTATTTTTATTTTGGTATTTGAGCGCCAGAGCTTGTTTCAGTTCGAAAATGCCATTAATTAAACGTTCTAGAAAAGTAATTGAATTAATAGGTATGTATAAGCAAATATAAAGAAATTATGGCAAACATTTAAGGAACCGATCATTAGGTTAGGTACTACAATTTTTGTGCAGTTTCGTAAACCAAATTGCAAATCATAACTATTCAGTACTCTAAACTAATCGTTATGTCCCAAAATGTTCACTTCTTAATTCGACCCTAAAATATTCCATATTATAGGGGTCAATAATACACGCCTTTCACTTACTGTGTTCAATTTCTAGTCCAAAAAGTTTTATTTTATTCGCTTCATGCTGGGCCTTCTTCTTGAGCCGGCAAGCGCGTGAGGCTAATTTATTTTTCTCCTTGCGCGACTTGGGGCGCACATTGAAAGGCAATTCCGATACCGGTGTCATATCGTTGATGGTGCGACTCAGCTTATCCAACTCTTTGCCGATAATGTGTAGTTTACGTGGATTTGGTGTGAGATCATTGCCATCACCTTTGCGCGCTTTGCCGCTGTGCTGCAAAATCAAATGAAAAAAAAAAATGTTGTAGCAATGAAATAAATTTAAACAACTACAGCCCACAGCGAATCAGAGGGAACTGCAGCTGAATTGGACGACCCAAATTGGTTGTATTTACTTTGAATACCTTGATACCACGCACGGAACAATTGGGGCTAAACACCGGATCGGTGGCCTCGTTCAAGACGTGCGGATCCTCCAGACGCGACTGAAATACGAGCCGTTTGCCTTTCGGTCCTTTCGCCTGCACATTATACTGCCAAAAGTAGCGCTCCTTGCCTTTGCCGCTCGACAAATGACCGATTGTGGTGCGCGAATCGTCCGCATTATCGGAGCCTGAGGGAGAAAACAATCAGATGATGAATTTTCATAACACAAATATTCTACATAGCAGAAAGTCACTTACCATCGCTCGACAAATCATCATAGTTATCGCTATTATAGTCAGTCGATGCATCGTCGTCATCGTCCTGCGAGAAATCAATGCCATCCGGCGACAAAACACTGCCGGTACTCAGCGACGAGAATGATTCAGCCTCGACCAGCGAGCCAGTGGACAACAAATGTTGTCGCGGTTCACGTCGCTTCCAAATGTGTTCGAGTCCGAGATGTGTGGGCGCCGATGAAGATAGACGCGATATGGATGTATCACCTTGATAATGGAACGACTTGTGCACTGAGCCAACGGTGCTGCTGCTGCCGCCGCCGCCGCCGCCGCCCCCGCCGCCAATGGTGCTGCCAAAGCCGCTGCTACTGCCACCACTGCTGGGACTAAGCGCATTGCCTGACATTAGCAAATGAGTGTTGCCCGGTACCGATTGGCCTAAGAGGCCAACGCTGCTGCCATTGCTGCTAACACGATCGGGCGACATCGAGAAGCCCTTCTTTTGCAATTCCAACATGTTGCGCGATTTAACTTGCTGATATTGTGAGCGATTGGCATGCGGCGGTGGTGGTGGCGTAATGGAATTCAGCTGAAGTGGCGAATGCGAGGGCTGTGTGGTTGAAGAGAAGAGATTAATAAATGGGTGAATGAATAAAACAATTGAAAAAATTGATGTATGTATGTACATTAGGGTGGGTCAATTTTTTTTTTTTTACTATGCGCGTATACCATAGACCCATAGTTTCTTCGGAAAATTTTCTTAGAATTACACGTAGGTTGAATCCTTCTGTGCTAAACGCGCATAGTCGAAAAAATCTCCCATACAAATTGAAATTTAAGATGAACGTGTTCCGCATGATGAAATCATCTAATAGATGAATATTTTTACTTTAAATACTTTTACCCCATATTTTGAATGTGCTTCAAAGACGACTTCATCCAATGCATGAATGGTTTCCACCATAATTATAGGAACAAAACTGAAAAACTTTGTAAAGTATACCTTTTAAAATTGGTTACATCTAAAGGATGCATTTTTTTATAGATGAATATTTTTTACTTTCAATTCTTCTACACCAAATTCAGAATTTGCTTCCAAAATTAATAAACTAAACGAACTAAAGGATGAAAAGTTTTCCTTTAAAGACTAATGAAACAGCTTTTTAGGGATGAACAGACACTCCAAAACTACGAATGACCATTTTTTCGCTTCAACTTTTTAGGTAACCAAATTTTTTAAAGATGAAGGAGTTCTACAAGGGCAAACGTCTAAAAGATGAATATTTTATATTTCAAACTGTGTGGAAATAAAAAAAAAATAGTTTTAAAGACGAATGAATTCTGAAGATGACTACAACGGAATGATGAGGAATGTGTGCTTCAGAAGATGAATACGCACTAAAGATTTACAGATTTTACATCCAAAGGATGAATACACCCCGAAGAAATTCGAAAAGGTTCATACATGTAAAGGTGCATGCATTCAAGGAATATACAATTTACATCCA